GTGTAGGCGGGGTTTGGCTCGTGTGGGCGGGGTTAGGCTCTTGTGGGCGGGGCACGGCGGGGCCTAGCGTGCGCCTGGAAGGCGTGGCTCCCATAACCTGGAGCTGAGGACTGTTCCAGGGACAGACCCATGAGAAATAAGATGACCCTCCAGCGTCTAGGCGTGCACCTAATGTGCCTGTGCTCGCGTGACTTGTGCAGGTTGCGTTTCTCTTTTCCTGAGGGACACAGGGGATGCAGGAACACAGTGAAGTGTATTAAGTGAACAGCTCGATGCATTGCATATGTGAACACGCCTTTGTAAGCACTTCACCCTGACCAAAATACAGACGAGTAGAGTACAGACAACAGACTGTAGAATATAGAGTGATTCCCTCACCCAGAAGGTTCCTATGCACCCCTTCCTCGTCTCTCCGCCCTGTGGAGAAGTAGCTGCTACTCTGACTTCATCGTCATAGATGATTTTGCATCTGTGAACGTCATATAAATGGAATTACTCAATACTCACTCTGTGGTGCCGGGCTCCCTGTGTCCAACATTATATCTGTGACTTTCGCCCACGTGTGCATAGAAGTTAATCATCCTTTTATTGCCTCTCTGACTAACGTAGTGTCGTAGTCCACTCGGGCTGCTGTAACAAAATACCAATGACCAGGCGGCTTACACACAACGGGAATTTATTTCTCACAGTTCTGAGGACGGCAGTCTGAGGTCAGGGTGCCTTGCATGGTGTGGTGAGGTTCCTCTTCTGAGCTGCGGACTTCACATGTGTTCTCGCATGATGGAGGGCGCTCAGGCGCTCTCTAGGGTCTCTTTTATAAGGGCACATCAACATTATATCTGTGACTTTCGCCCACGTGTGCATAGAAGTTAATCATTCTCTCTATTGCCTCTCTGACTAACGTAGTGTCGTAATCCACTCGGGCTGCTGTAACAAAATACCAACGACCAGGCGGCTTACACACAACGGGAATTTATTTCTCACAGTTCTGAGGACGGCAGTCTGAGGTCAGGGTGCCTTGCATGGTGTGGTGAGGTTCCTCTTCTGAGCTGCGGACTTCACATGTGTTCTCGCATGATGGAGGGCGCTCAGGCGCTCTCTAGGGTCTCTTTTATAAGGGCACATTGCCCTGGCTGGTTTGGCTCAGTGGCTAGAGCATCGGCCTGCAGATTGAAGGGTCCCAGGTTTGATTCTGGTCAAGGGCATGTGCCGGGGTTGCGGGCTCAATCCCCAGTAGGGGCGTGCAGGAGGCAGCCAATCAATGATTCTCATCATTGATGTTTATTCTCTCTCTCCCTCCCTTTCTGAAATCAACAAAAATATATTTTTTAAAAATAAGGGCACTAATGCCATTCGTGAAGGCCCCACCCTCAGGACCTAATCACCTCCCAAAGGCCCCACCTCCTACTACCACCACATCGGACTTTAGGTTTTCAACATATGAATTTTTTGGGGGGGCGGGGAAGGACACAAATCTTCAAACTGTAGCAACTAGTAATGTCCGCTGTAATCCAGGTAATCTGCTATAGAACCAAAGGCCTGTCCCAGATTCCATCCAACCCCTGGGAAGTCTGAGAGGGGTGTGATCAGAGCCCCCAGCAGGACAGGGTGGCCATGCAGACACAGGCCGAGGAAGCAGGGCTGGGTGGCCACCCGCAGAGGAAGGAAGCGGGCCGCTCTGTTTTCTGGCAAGAGGGCACAGGAAGTGGTGGGTTCTTGTTAGGGCTCACCAAGCCCCTCCAAAAGCTGAGGACAAATCCCAGAAAAGACTGCCTCGGGCAGATCCAGGGCATCTGCGGAGCCCCCCGCTGGCCCTCAGCACTCGGCTCCGGGTCCTCGCCACACCCTCCTGCCCCAGTTTTTCCTCCTTGAAGAACCTGATGTTAAATAGAAAACCCATCCGTGTCCCGTGATGGCGTCTCATGCTTAGATGTAGGTTGAGAGCGGCTGGGTAATAGCTGACACCAAAGCCGCTGTAGCCCAGGCCCCGGGAGGGAGCGACTATTTTTTCCTCTTTCTTACATAAAGCGGCTTCCCAGCCAGCCATGTTCTCCTTTGAATCGGGGCTGCGGCTGACTTTGATTTCACAGCCCCCCCCCCCCCCCCCCCCCCCCTATTGCTCAGCATGGTGGGGACAGGAGGACAGGGTGTCCTACCCACCACCAGGGAAACTGTGGTCGGCAGGGGGGCTGCAGGAAATGCAACGTGAGAAAGGCCGGCCACTTCCAGCTCTTTGCTTTGGTTTCATAAACAGCCGCTGAGCGCCGAGCGCCTGCTGTGTGCCAGGCTCTGTGAGGGCTCGGGCTGGGTGTGGTGTACATGTGCCAGGCCTCAGGCACGCCCAGAACCTGGACCCTACTGATGCCTTCCAGTGCCCTGCGTCCCTGTGTCAGCACCGCTGGAAAGCCCTGAACGCCCTTGTGCCACCAGGAGGAAGCCATTGGTTACACAGTCCTGAGGTTCAGGAACCCGCTCTGGGCCGAAACCAAGACATGAGAGTCACCGCGTGGTGTCCTTGGTCCCAGCGCTGTCAGGAGCTGCAGGAGGCAGCTGGGGGGGTGGGAGGGCAGTTGAGTGGAGAGAGCGGGTGTAGGTAGTGCTGGGCCAGGAAAATTAAAGGCGTCCTGAGGGGCCTGCCACCGCCCTGAGCAAGCCCTGCTGTCCCCACAGCTCCCATCATTCCTTGAGGAGCCAAAGCCCCGGGCAAGCTCCCTACCGGCCAAGGCTGCAACGTAATCGGCAGGGCATGGCCTCCCACCTAATTTGGGGTTTTCCTTTCGTTCAGCCAAGAACCTACAACTATCTCCCCGCTGAATGCCACATGCCCATTTCCACGCCACACAGACTCCTCTGGGTAGATTAGCACCAGCTGGTTTGTACACAAAGCCAAGGACACAGAAGTCCAGAGAGCACGGAAGGAGTCAAATTCAGAGCTAAGCGCGCACTCCAGGCATTCTGTGGAGCCAGAATGTTCTCTGCGGGTCTCAGCGAGCGCGGTCGAAGGCAGCGTGTGGTGCAATGACAGTAACTGGCCATGACTGAGGCCTGGCACGCATGTGAGCTCTGTACTGATGCCTTCCCTCCGGACACTGTTCAGCAGGAGGGCTGTCCCTGGGCTGGAGTCCTGACCCCGTGACCTTGGGCGAGTCCCCTTGGCCTCTGCCAGCCTCAGTTTCCTTAGATGTAAAGAGAAGGTCGTAGCCATGCCCACGCCACAGGGCTGTGGAGGTTTCGCAGGGAGCTCACTGCTGGGCTAGGCGGTGCTGCTCCGGTCAGCCACCCAGCGTGGGTGAACTGAGGGAGGAAGGGAGGGGCGATCGATTCCCCGCCCGGCTGGGCTGCCCGGGGTCCCTTGAGATCAGTCACAGGCCCCTCCTTGCAGGTGGACGAGATCCTGGGAGACCAGCCCACTGCCAAGGAGCAGGTGTTCGCTGCCCTGAAGCAGTTCGCGGCTGAGCAGCAGGTGGATGACCTGGTGGGGGCGCTCACCCTGGCCCTGCCCCGCGAGGCCCGAGGGCCCCTCCTGGACAACCTCAGGTACCTGGGTCTGGGGCGGGATGGGCAGCAGGGTGTGTCCCGCTCAGGGGTGCCGCGGTCCCACGGCCACCCAGGCGCTGCTGCTGCTGAACCGGACCCCAACACCCCTTCAGCCCCAGAGCAAAGGTGAGCAGTGACCCTGGGAAGGGCGCCTGTTGGCTCTGCCCAGTGCCAGGGCATCACTCTGATTGAGAAGGAAAGGCTGGCAGCTGCTGGGCTGAGACCCGCACAGAAGGGACCCACTCCCTGATCCCAAGTCAGAGCCTGCCCTGCTCTATCCCCAAACCCAGGTCCCAGAAATCAGCAGGGCACCCAGGCAGTCCCCGCTCTGTAGGAGACAGCCTGGCGCAGGGTGGAGCCCAGGGCTGTGCACTCCTGGCACCCGTCCCCCAGGAGGCGCTCTCTGCCCTCTGACGATGCCAGCCGGGCGTCAAGGTCCCAGGAACACTTATTCCCATTTCAGAGGCAGACTGAGGCTCAGAGAGGTTAAGGGACTGGCCCAAAGTCACACAGCAAGTGAGTGGCCGGTACGGGAACGCGAACCGGGTCAGCTGTGCACTTTCTGCTCTTCTGCTCAGCGTTGGACCCTCGCAGTTTATTCCTCCTATAATTTAATAATATATATTAAATTAGCGGGCCCGCACCTGGAGCGCCCGGGAAGCTCCTGAGCCCCCTCCACGCCCCCTGCCTTTCCCCCCAGGGGCCCCACTGCCCTGCCCGCC